TCGTGCACCCACCGATTTCAGTCGTATACGCATCATTTACAAGTAATGACGCCTTGCACATCTCGCGATACAATAATGCCAATATTGCCGATCCCCAACTATACTGACGGGTCATAAAGAAGTTACACAAAAACGGAAGATATTGTATATAGACAAGATTATTGGATTTATCAGTCATCAAGATTCCGTCGATCAACCGTAATATATATGCTTGAGTTGCATATATAATGTCTTGCTCACTACACTGAGGATCGAGCTTAAACTCATTTGCTAACCAGGATAATCTCAGTCATGGCCCTTTTGTTAAATCTTTGTGTAGTACATTCCCAAGGTACTGCTCACATATTGCAAACACGTTAAGATCAGTATTTCCCACCACTGCCATTCCATTTGTAGGAACACCGAGTTGTAAAGCCACATCCTCCAAAGTGATCTTACATTCACCACACGGAAGATGAAAAGTATGAGTTTATGGTCTCCACTGTTCAATTAATGCACTGATCCAATCGGGGACAAACCTAAATTCTCTTACAAAAGCGACATCATAAAATCGACTATTTTTAAATTATCGACAATATTTTGATCTGGCATCTCACAATTGATAAGTCAAGGACGAAGGACTCATTGTTCGTCATCCTACAATTTTTTAATCCATGTAATTAAAATTAATTCATCGTTCTCAAATAAAAAATTATTCAATCATAATACCAGTTCTCCCAAATGACTCGAAATGTGTTGATCATCTAGCCTCAAAATAACATTTTCTTCTGCCATGTTTCAACAAATCTAGAAAAAAAAATATTACACTCAAATACAACTTAATATGTTGAAAAAAATAAACGGAGTTCACATGGGAAACAAGAGAGAACTTATGTGTTTTTTTAACAGCGTTAAACTAAAACTCGAAAAATTATCACTGTAAACCCACTTCAAACAAAGCAACAGCTCTAATTGTTGACTATCCACACACTATTTTGCAGATTTGCTTCTATAAATTTAACACCGACTCATATGCACAATGAAATGCAAAGCTAAACCCCTCTTATAAACATAACTGAATGCATTATTGGTGGTCTATTCGACCATTCCCAGTGCATGTAGAAATAAATTTGGCCCCCCATGTGAAGAAGACACCGAGAAATCCACCCCTCATGCTGAAGAAGATGCCAAGAAATCCCAGCAGCATGCATGCACGATTCAGACGTCCATGCCCCCTCCCAACAGTATGCATACACGTCCAGGCCCCCCCACATGCAGCTGCTCACCCCTGGCACATGCAACAACAGCTTTCTTTGTTCACCACCTTTATTTCCCACGTCCAGGCCCACATGCAGAGCTCCTACATACAACAGCAGCAGCACCGCAGGCAGCAGCAGTGTCGCAGCTCGCGCATGCAGCAGGGGCGATTTCAGTTTCGCTGCAAAGTTGAAGACGTCGAGAGATCCTTGAACGAATCCAACACCCCTGAAGACGCCGAGAGATCTCAAACGCGCTTGTAACCCTGTAGCATCCACCCCATTTGGAGTGGATTATTTTGGGAATTAAACATTCCCTACAACATTATCTGGGCACTTTTGCCTGTTATAAAGGGTACATAAATAGTTCGATGAATGGTTATTCATTTATATCCCTGGTTTAAACTTTACACACAGATAAATATAAAAAGATAAAATGAGATAAACATTATGTGGAAGGAAATATGAACATATTAATCAACCAAGAATATAACATTTTTAAAAGAATTGTGAAGTTTAAGTTACACAAAATTAGAAAGGAAAAAAACATAGCAAATTAATTACAAATAATTGAAATATTTTTATTGTAAAAGATAATAAAAACCATACCAATCTTTTGGCGCTTGAATTTAGCTTTGAGTGGTAATTTGGTCTCTGATTATTATTTTTGTACAATTTGGCCTCTAGCTTTAGCTTTGAGCTGTAATGAGCCTTGACTTTTCGTCAAATGCAATTTGATCACCGACTTTAGTTTTTATCTGCAATTTGATCGCTTTGTGCAATAAAATTTTAAATAAAATCATAGAAAAAAAACCATAAAATCCGATATTACGTTTTCAGAAAAAGTTAGAAGTTCTATTTATAAAGTTTTAATCCTTTTAATAATTTATGAGTTTTAAATTTTTAAAATATAGTTGTTTTCATATCTAGCTGTTTCGGAAATTGGGGGCATTGTCTTTTGATTCTTTGATTTTGCAAGGAGAGCTGTTGTTGGGGCATTAAAATGTTCATCTTTTTAGCTTTGTGAAACTCTTCATAAGGATCGCTTGGTTCGTATATCTTTAACCATTTGGATCGCTTTGTTCGTGTATCTCGGATCAATTTTGAAACACCGGTTTCGCCCTTATTTATAAATGCCATAAACGTGCCAACTTATCCTAATACTGTTGGTGCCATGAAATGAATCCCTCTATGTTACGGCTCCTCAACAGAGCTCAATCTCTCAAATCCTTGAAATATATTCACGCCCGTGTCTTGATCGATGTTTCTTTAGCCTCATCGGACCTTGTTCTAAACATGTTTCTTAGGCTCTACGAGCGGTTTGGTTCAATCCAATATGCCCACAAGTTGTTCGATCAAATTCCTCAACCAAATGCGTTTCTTTGGACTGCTTTGATCCATGCATACGTTGGGAATCGAAGCTACCTGGAAGCTTTGTATTTGCTTTCAGAGATGTGGGAAGACTCTGTTTTACCTTCGAACTTTACCTTGGCATCGGTTCGCAAGAGTTTAGCCAGGTTGGAGAGGGTCAGAGATGGGAAAACGGTTTATGGGCTGGGATTTAAATGTGGGTTCTGTTCCGATTTGATTGTGCAAAATGCGGTGATTGATTTGTTCATGAGATGTGGAGAAGTTGATTTGGCAAGAAGGGTATTCGATGGGATGGAGGAAAAAGATTTGGTTTCTTGGAATTCAATGATTTCGGGGTATGGGCATAATGGTAGAGCGAATCTTGCACGAAAGCTGTTCGACGGAATGCTTGATAGAAATGCGATTTCTTGGACGAGCCTGGTTCAGGGATATTTTAAAGCTGGGGATATAAAAGAGGCTAAGATGCTTTTTGATAGAATGACTACCAAAGATTTAGCTTCATGGAATGTTATGGTTTCTGGATTTCTGGATGTGGGTGATGTTGATTCTGCTCAGTCTGTCTTTGAAGCAATGCCGGCTTCGAGATGCTGGGACGTGGAACTCGATGATTTCCGGGTTCTGTAAAGCAGGGAAATTGAGGTTGCGAAAGAATTTTTTGACAAAATGCCCTGTAAAACTGTTGCATCGTGGACTATAATGATAGATGGATATGTTAAGGCAGGGGATGGTAGTAACGGTAGATGTCTGTTTGATCAAATGCCCGAGAGGAATGTCATCTCATGGTCCACCATGATTGGAGGATATGCCCGGAATAGGCTCCCTTGTGATGCTTTGGAATTGTATAAACAGTTTAAAAGGCAAGGTATTAAACCAGAAACATTTGTATTGGAGATTATTGCAGCTTGCTTACAGTTAGGAATTCTAGATGCAGCTGAATCAATTATTCATGACTTCACCGAACCACAACTTTTTTTCAAGTTCACGAATCGTCACTAGTTTGATCAACATGTATGCAAAATGTGGAAATATCTCCAAGGCTTCGCAAGTTTTTAGGATGACTCATCGGAAAGATTTGCTTTGTTATAGTGTGATGATCACTGGCTTTACAAATCATGGCATGGTTCAATATGCCATTTCTTTGTTCAAGGGGATGCAAAGGACAAACATGAAACCAGATGGAGTTGCATATCTCGGAGTTTTGACTGCTTGTAAGCATGGCGGTCTCGTTAGCGACGGGTGGAAGTACTTCAAACAAATGCAGGAAGAACACAGAATTCAACCCTCAGAAAAACACTATGCATGCATTGTTGATCTTCTTGGTCGAGCCGGGTGCCTTAAAGAAGCATATAATCTTATAAGACACATGCCTTTTCACCTACTGCAGTCATTTGCGGAGCTTTGCTTGCAGCTTGCGGGGTCCATCGCAATGTCGAGTTAGCCGAAATCGCTGCAGACGGATTGTTTAAGATCGAGCCAGATAATTCGGGTAACTATATTCTCTTATCCAATATTTATGTTGATTCAAAAAGGTGGGATGGGGTTTCTAGGGTTAGAGAAACGAAGTTAGGAAAAATAGGGCATCTAGTTGGATTGAATTGGGGTCTGTTGTTCGTGAATTTGTCACTGCAGATGGTTTGCATTTTGATTCTGAAAGAACATATTTAACCTTGTATTTGATCAATGGGGAAATGAAACTTTTGGGATTCGTAAGAGATTGAGAAAAATAAGAGTTAGCTGTGTAAATTAGATATTTCTGCTAGCAACCTATTTGAGTTCAACTCGAAATAATAACCCCTAAAAAACATATTCATCACTGCTATTATATATATATATATATGCTAGATTCTACCAAATGTTATCAAGCCAGATTCTATTTGATTCATATTCATTGTATCATTATAAAGAAAATTATTAAATTCAAATATACGAAGAAAAACGGAATTTCTTTTTGATAATGACGGTCAACATCAAAAAAATCTCTCAGTCGAATGAGACGTTTTACGAAGTGATTAAGGAATATTAAACAAACCAAATTATCTGACAGGTTGCTTCGCTGCATAATTCTAATTATATCAACTAATATAACTCATAAAATATTATGCCTTTTATCAAATAAGAGATCTAATTATAAGTGACCACCGGACTTTATACTTAAATGAATTTTAATACATCAAAAATATTATTTTTCACATATCACCCAATATAACTTATAAAATATTATGACTTACTTTAGTAACATTTTTCTGTTGCATAATTGAGTTATATTGCCAGAACATTCAAGATAGTTTTAAGCAAATGAGGGCCAGGCTAAAGCATTTCAATATATGACAACAACATATAATAAATAAATAATGAATATCTGAATTGTTTTCAAACTATGTTAATAGCTTATTATAGGCTCTTTAAAAAACTATATAAAAGTAACAAGTTCCTCACCGGAAAACAACTCTCACCGTCGGGCGATTCTCTTCCCTGCTCCAAGTAACAATGCCTTCCCAATTATTCCTGAATGGAGTCCTAAAACCAAAGCTACAGTTCCGCCTATGGCGATCCATTTCCAATCATTCTGCTTCCTCATAACCATTCTTTCCTCCTCCTCATATTCCTCGGAATCCGTGCTCTCGTCGGGAGAAGCTTTCGTGGTAATTCTTGCCGTCAGAGCACATCTCGATAAGGAAGAGTTGGTTTTCCTAGCATTCTGGTATGCCCTCATGCCGCAGTGCAATTTCTTAACGGTTCCCCACATACCATGACGAACACTCAATTTAGCCACATCTTTCGGGATCCCCATGTCTTCGTAATGTACAAGAGCAACCTCACAAGCAGTCATCTGCCCCTCTCCTTTTCGGGACTCCACTGCATCACGAACCAGATGACACATATGAGACCATTGCCAACAGTGTCCGATGTTATGCTGCTAGAAAATAGAGAGGCCGACTGAAAAGGTCTTACCGGCCCTGATAACCCAACTCGAAAAATAAATCTCCACACGTCTTGGCTTGTCGCGCATCTGCAAACCAGGATATGGCACCCCTGAAAACGTTTTATAGCTTGTTTTAGCACCCTCATGCAAGAGAAGAACATACTCCATAAGATATAATAATTTACTTTTTCCCACAAGCTTGAACCATGATGCACACGACATTAAAACAGGCTCAAACATCTTTAGAAGCCATGATACCAGGATCTGGTTTGAATGTCGAATTCGAATCTGACAAAGGTAAGTTCAATTTTTTCCAAAATTTTCATGCATTTGGAATGAATACATATTCGACGTGAGTGTAAGTGTTGAATGGGTATATATTTGACGTACAACACAACGTACTTATTTCGAAGTATCATCCATAATAACCATAAATCCTTTAAGTGGTTAAAAGACAGAGATAAGAAAAAACATAATAGAAGATGCACTATCCCAAAAGTATACCCTTACCTCTCAACAACATACTACTATTCCTAGAATCGAACATGTCAAAGATGTATATCATGATGAGATTTCTAATATTTATGCACTTGTGTTTTTAACAAGTTCTATCTTGTATATGGGTTTCCTTTTCAAATGAACAGGTTATGTATTCCAAAAAGCTCCTCGCAAAAATTTAGTTCATCAACATCACTTATGAGATTTAATGGATTACTTTAACAAACCACTTGATATGGTTTTTAAACACTTATTTTGGTCACACAGTTAAACAATGGAGAGAACATATAAAGCAAATATTGGTCAACGCCATGTTTAATTTGAATAGAGAAAACGACTTACAAGACATGTGCACAATGGAGGAATTCAAGACAAAGAGAAATCAGTTCCAACAAAGAAGAAAACTCTATTAAAGGCTTATTTTTAAAATCAAAATATTAAAATATTAAAAAGTTAAAATAAAAATACCATTAGTTATTATTATTGTTTATTAAATAAAAATAGGTACAAGGGTTCGAATCCTGATATTTGCGAATGGAACAAACTGGGTTGGGAGGATCACCTGTGCCTCTACATTACCTGATCTAGATTAATCAGTTCGGATACCAATGATTAATTAAAAAACACTAATAAATAAAGTCAGACATTCCATGAGCACACTTGAATATTTGGCATAAATAAGAACGTGTGAGCACTTGTCCAAGTAGTGCCTAATGTATAATTATGATTATTAGTAAACTTTCAAATCTCTAATTAATATTATTATGATATATAAATTCACTCAAATATTCAATAACGACTTTTCTTTTCTTTTTTCCTTTTTCTAAAACAATCAATTGAAATTGATATATCATTGTCCACTTAAATGTTTTAGAATAAATTATATTCACAATCACTTAATTATGATGGGATTCTAATTTAATTATTAATCTTTTAATTTTATTAATTAAATCGTTTAACTATTTAAATGATTTTAATTAAGTCATTCACCGTCAACATCAACATTTGAAGGAGGAGTTGACTTGATTTTATTTTATTTGGATAGATTTTATACAATTTTATAAGTTATTTTAATTTTCACTTCAATTCTTCCGTCAAATGGTAATTGACTTGATTGACATTGTTTAAATAATTAAATGGTCTAATTGATAAAATTAAAAGGTTAATGGTTAAACTGGAATTCCTCAATAGTTAAGTGATAAAAGGTGTAGTTTACTTAAAATTTATCATTAGACGTTTTTTTTGGATAAACTTACACGAGATATTTGTAAAATATGCTCAAATGATCATTTTGGTTACTTAATTTTCAAAAGTTATAACATGGTCACTAAATTTATAAAATTGTTACAAAATGATCAATGTGTTATTATAACAAGTTTAATGATGATTGTAACAGTTCAATAAAATTCAATGGTAATTTTATAATATTTTGATAAAATTTAGTGACCATTGTTTTTATAATTTAATGATTTTTTAAACCTACTTGAATGATCTATGATATACTTTATTTTTTTATGACAGAACCTCCATACTCTAGTGGAAATTATATCTGCAACGCAATGAAAATTCCCTTTGACAAAACCATTGTTATCCGAAGGAAGTCTTAAACATTTACTAAACATTATTTTATTTAAATTGAATTGGTTAATGCTAGGTTTGCTTTAAACATTTACCGACTGTGTAAGATAATACATATATGTATTAAAAAAAGTAAAAGTAGGGATGGCCATGGGACCCGGGTTGGATCGGGTTTTTTTTTTTAAAAAAAAAATCGTGTTCGGGTTGAGTCGGGACGGGTTTTTTGAATGTGAGGTTCGGGTTGGATTCGAGTTTAGGGTGAAAAATACTCGACCCTGTTCGAAAAAATAATTTTCCTTATATATTTAGAAATAATTACAATAATACCCCTCTATATATTATTATTTTTCAATTAAGTCACTGTTTTTATTGAATAAAAATAATATTTTTTATTATTTTGGGTTGGGTCCGATTTTTAAGTTATATATCGGGTCGGGTTCAGGTAGAGTGAAATCTTGTTTCGATAGGCTCGGGTTCGATCTCAGGTGGAGGATTCATTGTTCTCGGATCAGGTGGACCAAAAACCCGACCCATGCCTATCTCTAAGTAAAAGTATATATTTATTAATATAGATCATATTGTAAATATTTAATATAGAGTGATTTCTCCTTTTTTTTATTAAGTTAGGATGTTTTTCAAAATATTATCTGTTTCAAAATACTTTTAATCATGTGAGAATTAACGTTCAATCACCCTTGATGCAGTTATTGGTGTTCAAACCCGAGAGCTCTAAGAATAATAATAATAATTCCTTTAACCACTAAGGTAATTTGGTTTGTACAATATAGAATGATTTTTCTAATTTAATTATTTCTATATATAATGATATGATTTGAATTAGAGATAAATCAAGAGGGACTAACGGGGCAATCACTCATGAAAATTTTAGATTATGATTTAATAAATATTTTTGTATTGGTAATCTGTTTTTATCATCTAAATTTTAAAGATTAAATTTTATAAGTTCATCTTTAAAATTTTATAAATTCATCATTTAACATAAAATCTTACATTTATTCATGATCCAACAACAACAACAACAACAACAAAACCCAATTCCCATATGTATGGGGTAAGGGGGAGGTAGGGTAGTAGGCTACCCCCAACGCCAGGTTAAGAGTAGCTTCCGTGGAAGACCTCCGGCAGTCAGAAAATTAAAAATTTAGATAAAATGCAATGCATGTATAAATAAATACATAAAAACATAGCTAATCAGTATTCATATGCAGTCATTAAAATCATATGTGCGTCTGTAACGGGAATTAATCCCTGCATAATAATCCCTGCGAAAGAATCTCTGCATATAGACAGAAACATAAGATCCGTCTAAATTTAAAAGAGGAAACATGAAGAGAATGATACACAGAAGTCAAAGTTAGCAAGCCCAGTTCTAATCCTTCATAAATACCAATAACAGAAACGTATTAAAAGTATAAGTCATGGAAAACACTACAAAGACATTAAAAGAAGACAGAGATGATACACCCTATAGATGTGACCCACACTACTCGACTACCCTAGTCTTTAGCCTCCATATTTTCCTATCAGAGGTCATGTCTTTGGTAAGGGCTAAATCCCTCAAATCAGATCTCAAGCAGTCTTCCCACTTTCGCCTTGGTCGTCCTTTCCTTCTGGCACCGTCGACTGTAATCGACTCTACCCTCCTTACCGCATCCGACGGTAGTCGCCTAAGGACATGCCCAAACCACCGTAGTCTTCCCTCCCTCAATTTTTCGGAAACAGACACCACCCCCAAGGACATCCTAATAGCAGAGTTTGTCGACATATCCCTCAGAGTCCTACCACATGTCCATCGAAGCATTCTCATTTCTGCGGCCTCAATCCTCCTTATGTGATCCTTCTTGGTTGCCCAACATTCTGATCCATACAACAGCGCTGGTCTTACTGCCATTCTATAAAATTTTCCCTTAAGTTTTAGAGGGACCTTCTTGTCACACAGAACTCCAGTAGCGGCCCTCCACTTTAGCCATCCCGCCTTTATACGGTGTGTAACGTCATCATCTACACCCCCATCTTTATGTATCATAGACCCTAGGTACTTGAAACAATCCTTTGAGGGGAGAACGTGTCCTTCTATGCATACTTCTACATCTTCATCGTTTTGGTTCCCATTGAAGTTTGAACATAAATACTCTGTCTTTTCAATATTGATCCTTAAACCTTTTTCTTCCAAAGCAGTCTTCCAGGTAGCCAGTCTACTATAAATATATTTTAATTCTAATTTAGTTCTCATTTGAATTGCTCAAAAAATTATAAATATATTTTAATTCTAATTTAGTGATAAATTTATAAGTTTGGTAAATTTCCTTTTGCTTTAGAAGGGAACTTTTTGGACATTACCCAATCTCGGCATTCAAATTTCAAATGGTTGGACCAAAAGACCGGCAAAATTAATTTTTTTTAATTAAAAACACGGATCTTGGATGGCTACGATCGTAAATTACACCAAACTCCGAAGGACATTTCCGTGAAAAGAGAGCTCAACTCGCTCTCTACTTGCTTCCACTCCCTTCTCATATGATTGGTTAAATCCACGTGTTTCACGATGTATTCTCCGCGTGTTTTTCAACAATACCATACTCGCGCGAGTACGTCATCACTTCGCATGATCTTCCTCTACTCTCTATAAAAAATCCCCGGCTTCTGATTTTTCTTCACTATATTGTCTCGCTTTAGAACAGCAATTTCTTCTCGTTGTCGAAAGCATTTTTTCTTTGAATTTTCTTTTAGGATTTTCAATCGGAAAATGGCGTTGGTTTCTTTCATCGGGAGAGTACTTTTCGCTTCGGTGTTCATCCTCTCTGCCTGGCAAGAGTAAGGCTCATTTCAGATCTGCAAATTTGTTCTTGTGTTCTTTAATGAGGCCGTTTGGTTCTTGTGAAAAAAGAAAAGATATTGTTTAGATCTTAATCATGATTTTCTCAACTGTTTAAAAGTTGATTTTTACTTTAATTAATGACGATTTCTTTAATTAATGAATAGATCTTGTTTGGAAAAATTAGTGTAATTTAAGATTAGAGCATGCTGTATTCATTTTTTTTACAAGTGAAGCATGTATGTTGAATTTTGATTCTATTAAAAACGCTTTGTTGTTGTTTTTTTAATAACGGAAAATTTTAATGGTTAAAATATATCTTAGAAATAACATTTTCCCCCAGTCTTTATGATAAATGTGTTCATGCGATATAGATTCAATGAATTCGGCGTTGATGGAGGGAAAGCGGCGAAGGAGCTAAGACCAAAATTGGACGTATTCTCAAAGACTGTGTCATCTCACGCAGGGTTTCAAGTTCCGGAATTCGATGTAAGAATTGCTATGCTTCGGCTCTAAGACTACCTAGAAAAAAAATATATTAGATTGAATTTGAAAATTTATTTTAGTGCACATTCATAGCAATTTTCCCCAAAATTTGATGGTTATCATCTTTAAAGTAAACCTTAATTATATTTCGTTTACATGAGAATTTTCAAATGTGGTGACTCTTTGGGATGTTATTTACAGATCAAGTATGTAGTTGCTGCTGCTGTAGCCTTTAAAGGTGTTGGTGGAATCCTGTTTACCTTTGGCAGCACTATCGGAGCTTATCTCCTGGTAAGTTTTTATGCTATATTTTATTTTTATGTCCGTGTTGGTATAGTAGCGAATTTAGAAATATTTTTGAGAGGATGATAATTTATATATTAACAACACGAAATTTTCATATAAGACTTGATAAAAATAAAATTTTAGTGCGGATATCGTCAATAAAATGAATAACTAACTTAAAAAAAATTAGATTTCAATGCCAACCTTAAATTATATTAGCATTCAATCACTGGTTGGTCCAACATATATGGATGTAAGAGTATGAGTAAGATGGTAAAATAACATAATTTTAATGTGTTTTGGTTTAATTCAATCTTATAAATTTAGATTTTTTAATCAAATAAAGTCAAAACATCTTAATAATAAAAGTTTACTTTTTTGTGATTTTCTTTCTAACTTCAATGAAAATGTACAATTATAAGTATTGGATACCAAATTATGTAAAAAGAGATTTGAAAATAAAGCAAATAATGGATTTGATGAACTCAATCGAAATCCATTGTTGTAATAATTAAGGGCGAGCAATATTTGATTTGAAAAAAATCAAAGTTCTTTTCGTTTTTTTTTTGAAATTTTTGAGTTAATCAAATTAAGTAATTAAATTTTTTAAATCGGGTCATTTGATTTGTTGAATTTAAGCTAAGTTGAACTTTATAACTCAATAAAATTGAACATTCTGAAAAATAAATTGGGATAAAAACAAAAAAGAAATGTGCAACTCTATCCTTCTAAGAAAATATAAATTTAAAAAATCAAAAGAAAATTTTTTAAACTTCACCTCCAGAATTTGATGTTTTGAATCTTAACCAGTATTGTTTACTTATACAATGTTTACATAAAAGAACTGATACCTTTATTAATTTTGGAAGTAGCTTTTGCTCCACAAGAATTTTCATTTTTTTTCTGACATATGTCTCAGGTTCTGAAATCGCAACATTGTAGAATCTGAATTACATGTGTGGAAATAAATATTTTTGCATCTTTTCTCATTTCATCACCACAAACCCTCCATGAAACTCTATTATTTCTTTTCGTGTTCCAATCTTGCTCGCATCATCATCCAACAACTTGTAGGATAATAGATTTTCTTTAGGCCTTTCACATATTGCACATCTCAAACAATTTGCATTATTTCGTCATATATCTTACATTTGATGGTTCCATTACCAACAATCACCAAGGCATGATCATCATAACTGTACACAGATCTTCTTGAAATATGTGCATAATGATGGAACCCTTATGTTCTTGAGGTCTTGTGATATGTGGCTCTAGAATCAATAAGCCGCACATCTATAAATCAGTTTTTGCCTTCCATCATGGACGAACGTAAGATTTTATGGTAGAGGGTAAACTTATAAAATTTTAGAGGTGAGTGGACTTATATAGGGGGCGAAAACAAATTATCAAAAGAAAATACAAAGAAAAAATCTAAAATATAAGAGAATTTGAAATTTTCAGGGGTGACTACCCTGCCTCGTCACCCATGGGTCAATCCCTGCCTTCCATAACTATTTATGTTTCACATCAGAGAGCATTTTTATCATCTAAGTGCTTCCAATATTTCCTTGAGAATTGCAATCTTTGGGCAAATTCCAATAATCCTTCTTCAAGCGACGTTTCTTGCAACAACTGTAGCACTTTAAATTCTTTTTAATTCTCGACTTCAATCCACTATAATTGTGACTTTTCTTTGCTCGTCAAATTGGAACCCTTAGTATTTATTTTTCATGTACATATTTTTATTATTTTTGGAGATTGAATTGCTAAAGACACTGTTGTTGCTGTGTAGGTTTTGCACCAGGTCATTCTCACCCCCGTACTGTATGACTTCTACAACTACGACACGGAAAAGAAGGAATTTGGTCTACTTTTCGCAAAGTTCTCACTGGTTAGTGTATTTATATTTCCATAATTTGGTCATTGTACATATTAATAAAACTTTCTCTTAATTGTTTCTAAAAGAAATTGGTTTTGGTGTTAGAACTTGGCGCTGTTAGGCGCGTTGTTGTTCTTCATTGGCATGAAGAACTCCGTCCCCAGGAGACAACTCAAGAAAAAGGCTCCAAAAACAAAAACAGTTTGAACATGTAACAATGGAACCAAGAGATCTGTTTTCTGAATGCTTTTGTTGTTATTTGAATGTTTTATTTTCAATTTCACAGAAAGGATTGGATATAATTTTGCCTTAGAATCTGCTGTTTTCCTTTTCTGGGTTTCGCCATTTCCATGCAACTTTTAACCATATATTGATGTCATGGTGATTCTAGATTACCAGGAAATTATTCAGTTTAACTAGATATACGTGTTTATGCTTTGTATCCTGCATTTTCCTGAAACTCCCTTTCCAAGCTCTCTTAGCTTAAGAAACAAGGGTAAACTACAAGTTTTGTATCCCAGCTATCACTTTTGTTTTCTTTTGTTCACTTAATTATTTTTTTAAATCATACTTAATGTTATGTTTTTGTTTCATTTTGGTCATTTGTTAAAAAATTAATGGAATTGTTGATGTGTTATTTTTTTTAGATAAGTTAAATTTATTATCCAAATAGAAGAGTTCAATAACAAAAAAAATCCC